TTTAAAGAGCCAAAAATGGTAGAGTGGGTCACAGAGTACATCAGATACTAATTTACTCCATCCATATTTTTAGAACACCCACTGCCAAAATACCAATCATAATAGGTTGAAACTCTAAGATGGTATCAAATAAAGATAATTTGCACCTTCCTTAAGTTTTAACCACTGCTTGGTTAACTTCAGGCTGAGTTGGACCCCCGAGATAACCATACAAATTGAAACAAAAGTGCTTGATATGACCAACTTAACCCTAGAAGAGACATCTCCAGAGCAAGTTCCTGCCTTTAGCATGAATATTATGATGTTCAGCATGATGTCGAGACATTTAAATGACATCATTGACTCATCTTGCCTCTTGATGGAAACAATTTTTTTTTACATTTGAGTTATACTTTGCTTGATATAGCCTTAAGAACCCATATCCCCTTTAGGCTTCTAGTCAAATTCTCAAAAAGAATAACTTCTTAAGCATATCAGAACAATTGTTCACATCCTCATAGACTTGATCATGATATCAAGATTGGTGGTCAAGACAGTTACCTCATGTTGCAGGTGATAGACAACCATTCTTTCCTTATAGACAGTAGATATGATATAATTATCTTCTATATTCCTTTTTGTTGACAACTTTATTTACTCTTGATTCACAAACCTTGAAGAAGCAACCAATTCATCACGAATTAATTCTCCAATACATGAGACTACATCAGAAGTCTGTCTTCTAGAGAAGACAGTAAAAACCCAGACAGATTCATCATCAGGATCAGTCAAAGAAGTAGAGGACCCCTTAAGAAACTTCTTGATGATGAGTAGGTCATTTTGCACTAATATGACAAGAACCTTCAAATACACGACACTAAGTGCCTATATTTCGAACTTCCTAGTACTTGCAGGTGTCATGACATATATTTTTCATATTTGGTCTTGACCTTGTATCCACTTTCCTCAGATCCTAGTTGAAACATCTCCCAAGCAACATGATAGTACTGAAAAACCCTTCATACACAGGGTCACAAGCTCCTACAAAGATGGTGACAGACATCGTGCTTTTGTCCTTTATTTAAATTTTCCATTTTAAAGACAACCAAAATAATATGACCCACAAGGTCCAATTATGCTGATGATGACTTGATCTTCTTCTTCAAAAAAAAACTGACACTTTCATGTCAAAACTATTGGGTAGAGACCTTTGTGTCTTGCTGACCAAATGTGCCTTCAAGAATGGTCTTGAGATATTCCCAAGCATCTCTGACCACCACACATGCGTTTAAAAAACTGAACACATTTTTACCAACTCCATTGGATATAGAGTCTTTCAGAGAAACAAGAGCCAACTCACACTCTTCCACACCGGGAACAATCCACACACACCCTTTGGTGACAGATTTCTAAGAGTTATTGTCCATTGATCTCAAGAAAGCTACCAATCTTGCCTTCCAATGATCATACAGTACCATAAAAAATCTCCCTGAAACTCACCCAAAAATTGACTAGGTTGCCAGCTCCGATGTCAATTGAAATTCTGGCACTCTAAAACATGTTAATACTGATGTCCTCACATCAGAACATAATGTTAAGACAGATGTTACAACATCTTCTGTCTGACAAAATAAATAACTCAAACTGAAAATAAATTGCAGAAAGATAAATAACACAGTCAATTGTTAACCTAGTTCGGTGCAAAATCACCAACATTTGGGGGCATCCAAGCCAGGAAGGAAATTCACTATGATAGCATTAGTTCAAAGATAAACTCCCTCATTTACAACTTCTTGTCTAATCACTACTTTGTGCAACTTCTACCTAGAAACCCTCTAGATATGAGATCCCTCTCTCATGTCTTAACAGTCACAAATCAATGATAAAACCTCAAGAAACTAAAATAGAAGATTACACTTTCAATAAACAATACTTAGTTTTGCTTAAAAGCTTCAAACTAAGAACAATACATTCTTGCTTAAATGCTTATGAATGAACAATAAACAACATACAATCAGTCTACCTCAATGTATCAAAAGATACATGGGTTACTTACAAAGTTACACTAAAGAGACTCTTAAAACCTAATACTCTAAAACTTCCCCTTATTTTTATAAAAGTAAAAGTCGTAAAAACATTAGGTTTAGGTTGCTCTTTAAATACTTTTCAGCATTTCATAAGCTTTGAAATATTTACCCAAATATTGATTGATCCCCACACTGAGGACTGCATCAATTATGAAGAAAAATCTCCTTAAATCTTGAAACAAATCATCAAGTTTCCTAAACTGTCTCAACATCCAATTTTAGAAACTTATGAACAGATGGAGATCAAATCAAATGTTCCAGATTAAATTTTCTTGACCTACAAAAATAAGTGAGATATATCCAAAAGAAGTCTCACATAATCAAATCAAATATGTCAAGAATAAGACTACATCTTGTACTGATGTTCTGGTACAACATGTCACAACATCTGTCAGAACATTTGTCTTCAATGTTGACAAACTAACAAGTTAGGACATTTCTTCTAGCATCTTTTGATGAACCATGTTTTAACAAAATTGATATTAATCCTAAAACCATGTCTTAACAAAGTTGATATTCTTTCCTTTAAAAATTGGTGACAGGTTGCGGAATTTGAACATACTCTATTTTCTCTCCTATGTGATTGATATCATTGGTTTCTATTAGTTGGGTTGAGTGTTGCATAAAGTAAATGGTAATGCATGTTTGATAGACAACAAGCATAAGTTTATATTTTAGATTGATAATTTAACTAAAATTTTAAATATATTACTTGACTCAAATTTATAATTGACTCAAATTTGAATTTAAATTATGAACTTCTGAAATTATAATATTTTTAATTTTTTTGGATGTTAGTGTTTTTTTGACACTGAGTCATCTGGTTCGACTGGTTTAATGCATATATAATTTTGTTATAGTGACAAGTTTATTCAACCGTGTTTTTCGATTTTATCCGATTTAGTCATGTGGTTCGACCAGTGATCCAGTGGTTTGACTAATGAACCAGTAACCCAATACCCTCACTAATTCGATGACCGATTCAATTTTTAAAATATTGGTTTTATCGATTCCAATTTGTGTGGAGATAAAGATAATCGAAAGTCTGCAGCTAGATATGTCTTTATATTCGATGGTACACCAATCTCATGGTGTTCGGAGAAGGATCCAATAGCAGCATTCTCGTCTTATGAGACCGAGTATATTGTCGTTTTGTTATATGTGTACCAAGTCGTGTGGCTAATGAAACTATTGAAGGAGTTGGGCAACAACGAGGGTGATGTTGTTACAATCCTAGATAACGTTTCCGCGATTAATCTTGCTAAGAGTCCAATTGCACATGGTAGGAGCAAGCACATTGAGATGATGTTTCACTACTTGAGAGAGTTTGTTAGTGAAAGAAAGTTGAGATTGAGATAATCTCGAAGTGAAAACCAAGTGGTTGATTTATTGATCAAAGAAGTCACAATTGAAGTGTTCAAAAGGCTGAAGATGAACAATGGCATGGAAGACTTGAAACACTTGAATTAAGGTGGTGTGTTAAGTGAAAATTGACAATTCTTGTGACCCCGATCTTGCGGATTTGCCGATTCCGGCTAATGATGATACTATGGCTTCCATCGGATTCATTCTTAACAAATTAGTTTTTGCAATTTGTGAGGATCGTTCTAGCTAGATACAAAATTATTAATTAATAATAAGATAAATCCATTTTTAGATTTGGTTGGGTGGTGATAAATTTTTGGAATTGGTTATTATAACATTATAAAATTGTGTAAAAAGAAATATTTTTGGATTAGTAGGTATTCCAAATCGAAAATCCAAGTAAAATAAGGAAATGGTTGAATCAAAATAATTCCCTTTCAAGTTATCTTTTTTTATTTTAGAGGGCAATATGAATGTTCTATTATGTTACATCAACACATTAAACAGATTCTATGATAAAGTGTTGTAACCAATTATTACAGGGGTGTAACCGGTTACAGCTGGGCGAAATTCACTTCGAGACTGAAAAAAAACAAAGTTCATCGTGAGCGTAAGCGGTTACCATAATCAGTTACTGTAATCGATTACCACTGTATTGAATTTAATTTTATAACACCTATTACCGATTACATGTCTAGTGTAACTGATAACAGGTGCAAGATTTTCTATTATATGTTATTTTGGTTTTATTGCTTATATTCCAATTTAATTGTAATTGTTTAAATGTATTATTATCAATGTGAATGAAAATAATTCTCATCATCAATTACTCCCTCTCTAATACAATTTTTTCTATCACTCTCTCCCTTTTCACACTCAACTTCTCCATTATTCATCAATTTTGCTGTTCTAAGGTAAATATAAAATATTGCAGGTCAAATTGTGTCCAAAAACATTTCCCTGGGTAGTTAAACATTTAAGACAATAGTTGGTCAATTTTACCCAAGTCAGTAATTTTTTCTTTGGTTTCAAACCAGGTCAGCCATTTCACCCTCTGTGCCTCTGACCTTCCACCATTTTAAATTCACTATATCAAGTTGTATTGAGTGAAAGATATATTTAATCAGTTCATACGGCATGTATGAAAATGGCACGCATATGAAGTTTCAGTCCATTACATAATAATAGATGATAATGATACTCGCTGTAATAGTAGTAGTAGTAAAGGTGCGGGATCCACAAGCCTAGTCGGTAGTACAAAAGTCTTCATAAGCCATGTGATAAGGTCGCAGTCCAATCAATTCATAATCCATAGCGCTCTTCCTCACCCTTATTTTATTTTTTCAATTTTAACATTGACTAATCACTCTTATATACCCATTTTTGCAACACATGCTTATGCTACTTTGGCAGCACACACTTCCACTCAAAATCGGTTTCACTTCTTTTACAACAATAGCCCATAAACTAACAAGCTCAAAATTGGAGTATAAAATCCTTCATTACTCTATTACCCTCCTCCTTCCTCAGATCTTCGGGGCCTAGATCTTGTAGGAAGCCAAAATACCAATGGCTCATCAAATGCACTTGTGCTCCACAAAGGTACTCCTACTCTCTCTTCTTTTGTTTCTTTTCGCCTCTCTTTGCTCCTGTTCCTGGCGGTCTGAACCTCAATTCCAGAGGAGAACAATGCTAGAGGACCAAAAACAACACCAAAGTGACAAGAAAATTTCGAAAACTTCCCTTCAATCCACCAAAAACCAAACCAAACTAATCAACGCCAATAGTGTCACTTCCAAAAACCTTACCAAAACCATCAAATCCAATAACCTCAATTCCTCCAAAAACCAAACCAAAACCATAAAAACCAGTAACATTTCCTCCAAATCACTCAACTCCAACAACCTTAATTCTTCCAAAAACCAAACTAAAACTATGAAATCCAATGACACTTCCACTAAAACCCTCAAATCCAATAACTTTAATCCCTCCAAAAATAAAACCAATGTTACCTCCAAAACTGGATCATCCAAATCCACACCACCCAACACCAATAGCCTCAAGAAGCTCAATTCCACCACCAAGTCCAAGAAGCTAAACTCCACATCCACATCAACCAAAAAGCCATTAGATCTCGTGAAAGCAATTAACAAAACTACAAAATCCACCACCACCGACAAAAACAACCAGCCACCGAAAACTCAAACTCACGACACAAACAAAAAACCAAAGACACAAACACCACCTAGTCGCACATTAGAAGAACAAGACGAAGAAGATGACGATTTCGCTTCATTCTCAGAGTTCAAAGATCTCCCAAACAAATTTCACCGCACACTAATCCCAGACCTAGAACGAATCTCAACAACCTCCAAAGCCTACATAACAAACGCCAACAACGAAATGACAAAAGGATTCAAACCCTACGTCGGCAAAAAATACGCACCCACCATAGCCGCCATAGTTTCCACCGCTTTCGTATTACTCCCTCTCCTCTTAGTCTCTCTCCTCTGCAACAGAATCAAAACCTATTTCTCGCTTCAAAAAATCCTCATCTTCATCCAAATTTACCTCTCAATCTACTTCACCATTCTCTGCATCTCAACATTGGTCTCTGGAACTGAACCCTTGAAGTTTCTATTCTCAACTTCGCAGTCCACGTATATCTGCTTCCAAGTGCTTCAAACTCTCGGTTACGTTTTCTATCTACTGTTACTTGTCATGTACCTTGTTTTTGTCTTCTCTACTGAATGCGGGCTTGGTTCGAAGCTTTTGGGCCTGGCTCAGATCTTTGTGGGCTTTTCCGTTGGGCTTCATTACTACGTGACGGTGTTTCACAGGGTGGTGCTGCGGCAACCGCCGAAGAGTAATTGGAAGATTCACGGAATTTATGCCGCGAGTTTTTTATTGATTTGTCTTTTTACGATGGCTGATAGAAGGAAGAAAGCTTACGTGGAAAATGATGGAGAAGAAGGGAAGAAGAATTGAAGTGAATGTAATTTATTTATTTATTTATTTTTGTTTTCATTTTATTTAATTTAAAAACATAAATAAAGTTAAATAAAGCACCAAAATTAGTTCAATGCCTACTGATTTAGCTCAAATTGTTTGTATTTTTTATTTATATTACCAACTTTTCTATTTAGTTTTAATATATAGGTTTGATAAAAAAATGAGGGAAAAAACCATATAGTATACTATATATAGTACGAGACTATGATCCCGTTAGAATAAGCAATAGGTGGAGTTTGAAACATTTTATAAGAAGGTTATTATAGTAATTTGCGTACCACCGACAGTTTTCTACACACCATAGTATACCATGTGGTCGCTGTCACGGTGGGGAAAAGCAAATGAAATTTGAAAAGGTGTCTTCGGCCTTTTGAGACCGCATGTCCGCACGCAGACGGCCTCCACCTGAACTCATCGTCTTTGTTGTTGTCGCATCCATTTAATCTTGTACCGTTACTACAATTTTCTAAAGAAAGAAGCCCTCTTTGTTTGAAATATCGTTACTACAATTTTCAAAAGAAAGAAGTCCTCTATGTTTGAAATATAGTTGAAGTCGAATGAATTCAGAATTGAATCGTGAATGATGTTATTTTTTTAAAAAGTATTTTAAACACTCTTGTGTATGTCTTATAGTCGGAACGCAGAAATACTGAAGATAATTCAACTTTATATTTATCGTCCGTCGAAGTTCCACCGACACTGCGAGTAGTCTGATGCGTCGTACTCAAGTGCTCAAGTGCCGCCTACAAGCGGCCTTTACGCCCACGCCCTCGAACCCCATTCTAGAGTTGGTGTCGCCACCGTCATCGATGAGGGGGTATGGAGGAGACAAGTGACATAATGATTGGGACTACCACACTTGTCCATATGACATTTTATCCTCTTTTGTCATTTTGTTGAGTGACATAATGCTTGGGACCACCACACTTGTCCATATGGCATTTTATCCTCTTTTGTCATTTTGTTGAGTTAATCATCGTAACTCTTTATAAAGGCTTTTAAAGTGAGTAAAACTTTATATGTGAGTCTATTTCCCAATTATTTATTAGCATTTACTCACTTTCACTTTTTCTTGTCATTTTGAAACACACTCATAGACATTTAATGTTCATAAATTACAAAAATTCCTCATTTGTTCTAATAATGACAAAAACCAATTACAAAAAAGAGAAACAAAGAAGGTTAATACAGATAAGTATCTTTCGATTTGAACTTAATCTTAGTAAGAATAATGCAAAGTCGAATAAGAACGTTAAGTAGCAATGCTTTGAATTGTTATCCTTTGTAATTATACCAATATTACCTTACACACGCTCTTTAATGGTCCTTCGCCTACATCTCTCGCCTAGAATTATTTATGGTCGTGTACTTTTCATGTTTTCACGAATTTTTTCATGAGAGAAACTTCAACTCTCACTTTGAGACGACACCATCTCGAAATTCACATAGGTAAAATTTATATTGTATCATTTTCCACAAGACATATACCCTTGGTATTGAACCTCATTAAGAATTTAAATAAAAACTCAACTCTCATTTTAAATGTTAACATTATCACGAAATGTTCGACAAACATTCAAAATCAACAACTTGTTGTTACCAATTGAATCTTGAGGTTAATGTTTTATCAACGTAAGATTGAGTTGTCGCCGATGTCGGAACTCTTACTCAAGGAGTTTTAACCACATGCCTCTCGAAGTTGTTTTTACTAAGTCTCTGACCAGTGACTTAGTAAATGGATCAACCAAATTATATCTCGTTCGTATATAGGTGAGTGAAATGATTTCATCTTTAATCAATTTTCTCACGAAAGTATGTCTAAGACCAATGTGCCTAGACTTTCCATTGTATACTTCGCTGAATGCTCTTGCTAGAGTGGCTTGGCTATCACAATGTATCAACATTTTTGAAACATTTTCTTTAGCCAATGGGACTTCCAACAAAAGGTCTCTCAACCATTCTACTTCTTGACTAACGGAAGCAAGAGCCACAAACTATGATTCCATCGTCGAAAGAGTAATGCATGTTTGTTTCTTGCTCTTCCAAGAGATCGCACCTCCAGCTAATGCAAATATTCACCCAATTGTAGATTTATGATCTCCAACACTCGATATCCAGCTTGCATCGGTGTATCCTTCTAGTATGGTAGGAAACCTACCATAGTGAAGGCCAAGATATTTTGTTTTTAAGAGGTAACAGAAAATCCTAGTTATGGCCTTCCAATGTTCACCATTGGATTACTAGTAAATCTACTCATCTTACTAACTGCAAATGCTATGTTTGATCTAGTGCATTGCATTAAATACATTAGACATCCAATTTCACTTGCATATTTCAATTGAGCTACAATTCTTCCATTGTTCTTTTGAAGTTTGACACTAAGATTAAATAGAGTGTTTTATTCCTTAAAGTGCAGGTGTTTGAACTTATCCAACATTTTCTCAATATAATGTGTTTGACTAAGTTCATAACCCCCACTATTTCGTTTTACTTTGATCCCTAAAATAGTGTCAACTAGTCCAAGATCTTTCATCTTAAATGTGGAAGTCAGAATTTTTTTTCTAAGATTCCATCTATCTCATTGCTAATGATCAACATATAGACACAAAAATATTACAATGTTTCCATGCACCTTTGTGTACAAACATTTGTCACAAGAATTTAGAATAAATCCATTTGAAAGTATGACAGAGTCAAACTTTTGATGTCATTGTTTTGGTGTCTGTTTTAAACCATATAAGGATTTGACAAGTTTGCATACTTTTTGTTCATTTTCAAGAAGCATGTAACCATCTTATTGTTCCATGTAGATTTCCTCGTTGAGATCTCCATTTAAGAATATTGTTTTAATATCCATTTGATGAACTATAAGATCATTCAAAGAGGCTAAGGCGAACAATACTCTAATTGTTGTTGTTCTTACCACTGGTGCATGTGTTAAAGTAATCAATACCCTCTTTTTGTCTAAATCCTTTTGCTACTAATCTTTCCTTATATGTGTTTAATGTATTGTCACTATGATACTTCTTTTTAAACACCCATTTACATCCAATGGGCCTTGAACCCTTTGGAAGGTCAACAAGTTCCTATGTGTGGTTTGAAATAATCAAATCTATTTCGTCTTGGATAGCATCTTTCTAAAAAGAAGAGTCTCTTGAAGCCACTGCTTCTTTATAGGTTTTTGGATCATCTTCTAATTGGATAATAATAGGGATCTTATGAATATCATTCTTGCAATTTTCTTCAATTAGATAAAAGGAAATGAGTTGAGAATCAAATTCATCTAGACCTAGAACTTTAGATTTTCTGGATCTTTTGCTTACCCTAGGCTTAGGTTGTGTTTCAATAATCCACGAGATATTTTCGAATTGTAGTTCAATAATTCGTCGAGGGTTTTTATCATGATATCCTTCATTTGTGGGAATATTAGATTCTTTATCCTTCGTGACAAGGTTTTCAAAAAACTCCACATCTTGGGATTCAACAATTACGTTAGACTCCAGATTTAAAAGTCTATATGCTTTGTTGTTGGATGCATATCCTATGAAAGCATGTTTGATCCCTCGAGGACCCAATTTCGTTCTCTTAGGATCCATATTCTTGTAATATGCCACACACCCCCACACTCTAAAATAACTAATATTTGGTGATCTACCTTTCCATATCTCACATGGAGAAATACCTTAATTTTAAAGGAATCCTATTCATTATATGACATATGGATAATAATGCTTCACCCCACAAATTAAATGGCAATTCAGAATGCATTAACATTGCATTTATCATTTCTTAATATGTTCGATTTTTTCTCCTGGCTATACCATTTTGTTGTGGTGTACGAGGTGCGGAACATTCATGTATAATGTCATATTCTTCACAATATGCATCAAGTCCTGTAGAAAATTATTCACCGTCCCTATCACTTTTAAAGACTTTAATATTTCTACCTAATTGATTTTCTACTTCCGCTTTATAGATTTTAAAAGCATTAAAAGCATCATCTTTATGCTTTAAAAGATATATGTGTGTGAACCTAGAGCAATCATCAATAAAGGTTATGAAATACCGGTTTCCTCCATGTGTTAGCATGCCATTAAATTCACACAAATTAGAGTGCACAGGATCAAGCAAATTTGATTTTCTTTCAACACTTTTGAAAGGTTTCTTGATCATCTTTGATTTGACACATATTTCACATTTTTTGAAATCATGATTATTGCATGAGACCAATCAGAATTTAATTAGTCTTTTCATAGTATTAATATCAATATGTGCTAATGTAGAATGCCAAAAAGAAATATATTCAAGCATATAAGCAGAATTAGAAATTTCATTAATAATATTTTCATTAATACAAAGTTTGATCATTCCCTCAGCGAATATCATTTTCCTATAAATACATCATTACGAGTCAATATAAGTTTGCCCAATTCATATACATATTTGGTTCCTGGTTTACCTAATAGATCCCCACTAACAAGATTTCTAGTCATGTCGGGGACATGAAACACATTAACAAGAGTGACTTTCTTTCCGGAAGTGAAGTTTAGTTCGACGGATCCAGTTCCAACAACTTTAGATCGTAATTCATTTTCGATTTGTACTTCATGTCCATCAATTGCCTCTGAATAGGTTTTGAAAGCAGCCTTGTCATAACAAACATGTACCGTAACACATGTGTCATACCACCATCCTTGCACTTTTCCTTTGATTGCCATTACTTCGCTCACCGTAGCGATTATATCATCATTTGCATGAATTGCATTGATCTCATTTTTTGACTTGTTGTGCCTGCGATCTCGAGTATAGTATCCGGGTTTTCCATATACAAAACAACCATTTTTCAGACCTTTGGGACCGCCAAAATATTTGAATTTGTTATGTTCCATTTTAGGTCCAAGATAAATCTTCATGCCATCATGTTTCTTTTTTCATTTGGAAGTTACAACATTGACTTTGGAAAGACCAACAGATTC